CTCTCTCTCTCTCTCTCTCTTTTATCTTAGTCTCAGGTTAATAACATTGGTTTTGTCATTTTTTTAGAGAGGTTCAAACCAGATGGATCCAAATGGTATTTGGGAAAAAAAAAAGTTTAGTTTCATAAAAAAACATTTCAGTTTAATGCAACCCAGATAAACAGTAACCATTATTAAACTACTGTTAAACATTATCTTTCCTATTTGATGAAACTGGCTATGGTAATACTATTTAATGTTCCTGTCATGCCTGTGAGGATCTGTACTATTTTTGCTAAAGCTTAGGTTGAAAATSCATATCAAGAGATTATATTATGGTAATATGGATTGTCATTTTCACTAGTATTGACTGAGTACTTGTTCTGCTAGGCACTTTGCAAACCGTTCATTTAATCATCAACATAATCCCATGACTTCAGTGTTGCTATGGTCATTACAGTTGAGAATACTCAGGCCTGGAGAAGTTGATGGCCCAGGATCTCTTAGCTGGAGAGTGCAGAAAATGAGAATTTGGATTCCACCACCCATATTTTAACAAGACTTCCAAAAATGTGTTATGGTCTGAGTCATAGTATGTGAGCATATGCTAAAGTCATTGTTGAATTTATCCCTTTGTTATTTTAGGAACAAGAGGCCTAGTATTTTAGGAACATTAGTATTGTCTTAAAAAATGGTACATTTACTTCATTTTCTGTTTTTGAGAAAGGAAACATAAGCTTCAACTGATGATTTTGTACCTTTACAACTTAGTGGTAAAAGATCAAGACCAAAACCCAGGACATTTTAAGAAGTATTAATCATTAGTTGGTGTCATATTTGGATTATAGCCAATAAATGCTAAGTGATAGCACTTCATTTTAAGTCTCTAGAGTGAAACTAATAAATTTTATAGATGATAAAAGTATCTGAAACTTCCAGAGATTTTATTGACTTTTAAACCATCAATAAATTTTTATGAAAATGTTATACAGTCTATTTTTAATGCTATGATGTTAATCTTGTTTGYAATAGTCTTAGATCATGTGTAATTACTAAATAGATAAAATATTTATAAGTTACATAAATAAAGTAAAAGCTAAGATTTACTCTTTTCTGAAAGTAGAACAAGGTAAATAAATTATGAGTCTAATCTTATAAATAAAAGGTAACAAATATGTTTGTAGTCATTAGTAAAAAGAAAAATGAAAACCTGCAGATTTGGGGAGATACTGTGCCAAATTTATGAATTATTTCCATGTCCTTCAAGTTATTACAAGCCACATGATAATTTTGGATTAAATTTTAAAGTTCTCATGGTAGTTATAAGACAAATTTTATAACAAAAAAAAAATTCTGATTCGAATTCAGTTTAAAACAAATCTTAGCATGCCAACACATGTGATATTTTTGGAAAGCTAGTACAGCCCAGATTGTCTTTCATTGAGAAATACAACAGGGTACAGAAAGTTCTGGTTTGTATGTTACATATCATAATGCTCCTTAGAAACTCAGGCTTAGAAGCAAAATAGAGGATACATTTTCATTGAATATTACACATAATTAGAAATAGCAATACTTTCTCTCTTTTGCCCTCCTGAGTACTTGGAAATTATTTTGTTCTACATTTTACTGGAGTTTTAGGAGAAATCCTGATGGTGGTGCTCTTTGACTCACAAGTTTTTAAAACTACCTTTTATATTAACCTAAGGAGAATAAAGATCTTATATATTAATAATGGTAGATTATTAGTAAGTTTGAGCTTCAAGATAAAGCACACTGCCACTGTATAATTCAAAGGACAGTACCAGACATCTCCTCAAAGAGATAACCTGAAATAGATAAACCTGGACTGGACGTGAGAAACAGATGTCCATGACTCTGAGGGTAATCACTTAACCATCTGTGGGCTCAGTTTCTGCATTTGTAAACTTGTGCTAACCCTTAACTCATACCTTTATTTTCTCAGCTGATGGATAAAATATCATATGAAAAGCCCCAGCACGAAACCTGATACAAAATAGTTAATTATTTAATATTATTCACTTTATGTCCCAAATCTGTTTAATTAATCCACATTCCTGAATAGTAATAATAAAGACCCAACACCAGACCTATAGACTATACCTAGTAAATTCAGGTGATTAGAAAAATCAATCTCATAGTTTGTATAGAGGTTTCGATTTTTCTGATTCTACACAGAAATTGCAAATAGAATGCATACACCTTAGAAAGTCCTTTACCATCTGGGTACAGTGGTGCACATCTGTAATCACAGCAACTCAGGAGGCTGAGGCAAGAGGATCACAAGTTTGAGGACAGCCTCAACAACTCAGCAAGGACCTAAGCAACTTAGTAAGGACCTAAGCAACTTAGTAAGATCCTGTCTCAAAATAAAAAATAAAATAAAAAGAAGGGGCTGGGGATGCGGCTCTGGGGTAAAACACCTCTGGGTTCAACCCTCAGTACAAAACAAAAACAAAAAAATATCTTTTACCATTTCACAATTTAACTTGCATTGCAACCAGGGATGTAAGCATTGTGCATATTGTTATTCCACTTTCTGAATTGAAATGACTTTGCAAAAGTGTGAGACTCCAATTTGAGCCTGTGGGATATAAATTTTGCAAGGATTTTATAATATCATGTTGAGTTCTTAGAATAATAAAAGTTCTTGTTTACAGTGACATGTTAGTGGATTGGCGGCCACTACAAAAGAAAAAAAAATGGCCTATTAGCAATACCTTGAGCTACCTTAAAAAGTTAGGTTGATCTATAAATTTGATAAAAGTAAGTATTTACTACCAAAAGAGTATCGTTTCCTAAGACCTTTTGCAAAATTAACACGTTTGTTATATTTGAAGGTGAAGTAAACATAGTTTGAAATGAGATTAGCTTCATTTATCTTGGGTTCCCTTTTTTGGCATTATTTATGAAATTTTTCCCCTCTTGAGCAAATAGCTTCATGGTCCACTCTCTAGCATATTTCAAATTTAGAAAATTGATATCAAAATTTGAGAAGTATATTTAATCTACTTCAAGAAACCTAGGGTAACATTTCAAGATTAAACAATATTTTWTTTTCAACCTCTTAGGTTGATAATGATCTCTTAAGGTGATTTTATAGTGTGAGTACATATACCCACATGGGAGTTTGGATGTTCTTTCTCTCTTAAGGCAACTAGTATATTTTAAGGTCAAATTATTTGAGATTTTATTTGACCTACAAGTTATAAAGCTAAACTGTTACTATTTCATGATGTGAGTATAAGACACAAATCTGGGTCAGAGAAAAAGGATTTTTAATTCATAGCAATAGCAGCTGCTTAGCATCAGCACGGGCTTATACCAGTTCCCTATGCCCTTCTTCCACCAAAGCTAACTCGGTGGACACAAAGGACCAATGATGGGTGCCTGTGCGTGACAGCAGTGATCTTGGGGGATTCAGACAGCCAGCTTTGTGTCTAGAGGGAGGTGTTGCTAATCCCTCAGTTCCTCACTGCAGGCATCACCCTGAGAAATGGCCCAGATGAAACCCAGGCCCAGGCCTTTTATTCTTGTTATCTCCAAGAATATCTACAGGAATGCTCAGGGTCACAGCAGGATGCCTTTCTCAAGGGCAAATAGCTCTCAACGTTTTTTCATGAAAAGAGACACACTCTCCTAAAGGATGAAAAGTATTGCTATCAGTGACAATGTTTTCCATGCCAGTGATTCTCAGGAGGTGCAAGAGATGTTCTGTACCCTTTGTAAAATTAGCCTCCAGATGAGATGACCTTGATACAGCCACCTCACTATTCTGGGCATTTGTAGCAAGTTTGGGGAAAAGGGAAGTGCCATAATCATATTTTCATTTTAGAAAGATCACTCAAGACAGTATAGAGAACTGTCCAGAATGGATAAGACAGAGCTAATTAAGGAGGCTATGTTGACCATGTTGGTAAGTGACCATGAGGTGAGGAGAATCAATGTGGGTTTGGACATAGAAGAAAAACCCCCTGGCTGCAGGAAAGGAGATGAGGGATAAGGAGCAGTTGGATTGGAACTGACCTATTAGAGGATAAACTAGAGGGTAGGAAATTGGGAGAATAAGTCTGGGGATAAGAAAAGACCAAGTTAAGTTTTTGAAATGTCACATTGGAGAGATTTAATAAATTTGGTGGCTTATAAATTAAATATAACTGGGCTGAATATATACTGGGATATAGAAATAAGCATTCTATAGATGATTTAGAATCAAATAATGGAATTTACCTCCTATTAACATAAAATTGGCCAGGATTCTTTACTTCTCAGTTAGATCTCTGTCAAACACACACACACACACACACACACACACACACACACACACACACAACAAAAAAAAATGAGCAAAATGTAGAAAACACCAGGGTCCTCTAGATAACTTATGGTATAAAAGTCTTACTCCAAAATGGCACGAAAATATTGAAAGCAAATAATATAAAAGTATATACTCTAAAGTATTTGTTCAATAGATGTGATGAATGAACAATACAAATACTTCATTTAAACCAACACAGTAGTTTCAGTTCTTCTCATTATAACCCACATTTTCAAATTAACTCAGGTAAAAAGGAAGAAAATTTTTTATTTTATTCTTTTATTTCTCTACCTCAAATTTTTCACCACCAGTTACTCCTGAGTAAAATGCACATTTAACAGAAAAGGAAAGAATTCAGACCTAGATTACTAGAGGATGATAAATGACGAGTAAAACGTTTTTGGTTCATTTTTCAACTGAGGATGGTCCAGATCATTTTATAGGGAAAATGATATTCAATTGTTATTTTTGATCTGTCTACTTTGCCAACAATATTAACTCTAGAAACAAACATCGGATGCTTRAAAAGTTAGTAAGAGTCAAAAATGGGGTTGCATAAGACCAAGTCCTTGGTACCAGGAAATTCAATGAAAACAAAAAATAGCCTTGGGCTCTGAGTCTAACTCTGGAGGGCTGCTTTTGCATTGCTCTGATGCTGTCCAGAGCCACCACCACCTCTTACCTGGTTGCAGGTATTAATGTCGATACCCCCCTTCAGATACTCCACGACTTTGTCCAGGTTGCCTGCTCTGGCAGCACGCAGGAAGCTTGCATTGCTGTCAGACTGTGGGTAGAAGAAAAGACCTCTGTGAGTGATGGATAAAGTGAAAACATCCCATTCAGAAAGGCAAGAATGTTTATACTGCAAGTCACAAAAAAATTTTAATACTAACTTTAAAACATTGAATATCATTCACAGTAGAAGGTAACAACTTCACAATATTCCTAGATGTTGTTTAAGAATATAAAAGACATTGGGAAATATGCTCTGCTATATTAAAGAGTATAAAAGGACATTAAAATGAAAATTATTATTGCTTTATTCCAAATCTTCAACCACATTTAAAAATGAGCTTATACTGTTCCAAAAACCACTATTACCGTTTATTTTAGTGTCAGGATTTGAATGACTTTATATTAAGCCTAGTGTCGAGTCAAAAAGAATCAGAGAAATTTTTTATAAAAAAAAAAAAAGAGGAGAACCTGGGTTTCTTTCTGTCTGTCTTTTTCTACTGTCAGTTTTCAGATGGGTCTGCCAAAGAACTGAGTATAGGTCACTGAAGAGTCATCAGTCCTCATTATCAGAGAATAATAGAAAGCTCCAAGGGTGCTTTGAAGGAAGGGGATAGCATTCCTTGGCAGGTGTGGACTGGGCTGATGCAAATTCTATGATTCCCGTGATTTTGGAAAAACATGACTAAATTCAAACCAGCTGACATAATACCATCTCTTGGTAAAGACAATGGCTCTGGATGGAGACTGCTTTTTTTTTTTTTTTTTTTTAAGTTTTTCATCTTCCCACACTCTTGAAAATCTGATACTGGGAGAATCAGCTGAATTCTCCTGAAAAGTCCTGAGAAGAGTTGTTCCAGGGACAGAGCTACAATCCCCTCAGCTTGATTAAAAAGCCCAACTTTTAACCTTTAACATAATACTGACGATAAATTTTTGCTAGGGTCCGGGCCACTTGCATAACTACTAAAATATTTCTTGTGATATAATGTCACACGAAAGAGAAAATGGTAGCATGAAGAGGAATCTAATTTACACATTTGGAAGTGAGATGAGGCTTTGATGACTCTTACTGCATTCTCCTCCCTGGGGTACCCTGTCTCCCTCTGTGGAAGCCCGTGCTTTGTAAGGACTCTCAGCACACTCTGTCAGAGCTATTTATTTATGATTTGTGGTGATGTACAGATAGAGAAATGGAAGTATTTTCTCTGGGAGTTTCAAATATGGGATTACTTGCATACTGCTAAAATGATTTACACACGGGAAGATTGAAAAGCCCTAGGACTAAATAACCTCACATTTAACCCAAACACCACAATGGCTTGTAGGCTTACAAATCAGAGATATTTATTAAGAGTTGAAAGATGTGACGGAAATCTACACATMCAGAGTTCATGCTCTGATTCTTTGGAAATGTATCATGGTGTGATTAATACTAAAAAGGGTTCTTCTCCCTCCCCACATCCCGGCGACACCTCACGCTTCATCCTTCCTGAAAGATGTGCCCCTGGCAGAGTGCCCTAAGTAGATCTGCAATGCTGCAGGGACTGAATTGTGACTCATCATAAAATGTGTAATCTATGAAATTATTTTGCTGTTTGCAGCAAATGCWAAATTCMAGGAGGTTTCTTGCCATAGGCCTTACAAGTGAAAGGGCTATGTTACACCAACATCTCACGAAAAAAATCTTATCTTTTCACTATAAGACAATACAAATAAAATAATACTATGTCACAGGTATAAAATATGAAAGTATTATTCCTGTATGAACAGGTTTATTTCCAAAACAAATCTATGTGCAACATATTAAAGGTTGTTCCTAGAAAGGACTTCCAATTTGTACACAAGTAATTATAGGTACCACTTATTGAGTGTTTACTGTGGGCCTAGAATAAAGAAGTCATATGCATTAAATTATCAATACTCACAGGAATATTAAGAAGAAAGAACTAATGTTATGCTCATTTATTAAGTGAGGGGAGAGGTTTGGAATGTTTCCAGTATCACTGATTGATTCCGTGGAAGATTTAAGATTTAATTCATGCTCATCAGACTGGGAGATAGAAATCTATCTGCTATTCTGTCCCCACTCTTCCAAAGTATCAAAGCAGATGTTACCATGGATTCCTGACTTATGAGCAATAAGCGTTTCATTTGGGTTGACCACACTACACCCTTTGTCTACATATTCATTCTGTAAATCACAGCACTAGCTATATAGAATGCCTCAGGTAGAGAGAGAATTCTAAGCTGCCATCTCCACCTTCAAATCTATTGGCCATCTACGTGCAACTAGAAAAATCTAGTTGACTGAGATAAACTATCTTGAAACTTATTCATTTGGGAATGAGGAAAGAAATGAAAAAGTAGCTACCATATGAAAAAGACATTTCTCTCTTTCTCACACTCTCTCTCCATATGCCTAACATACCCAACCTTAGCATAAGAAAGTTATAATCAAATAGAGGGAAAGACTAACCCCAGTAGGATGAAGAGACACCTAGAGACACTACTGCAAATCCCTAGAGGGGGCCACAGGGTCTGCAGGCATCATAGAGCAGCACCCAATACACCCTCTTTGAACTTCCTAGGGATAGGGTAGATAGGTAGGACTGCTTTTGCTGATACATAGTATCTAGACGTTTTTTAAAACTGTTTTTCTCTTTTCTGAATCAAACCTTTATAATGTGAATGCAAGTCAAATAGTTACAGCTAATCCCTGGAATTTCAGCAAACAATGTTCCCAGTGTTCAGGAGGGGCTGGACCCAACGGAAAAGTAATATCCCAGCCATCCTGCCAGGGACCTCTTCTGCAGTTGAGTCAGAGTATACTTTGGTGCACAATGAATTCTTCTAGAACCCCATTAAGGGATTTAGTTTTCCCAAAGTGAGAAAATGCATTAAATGAAAATGTTATTGTAAAATGTTTCAAGAATGTGGATACTGTGGATGAAATTAAAATGAGGTTTCAAAATTTATACATGAATTGATGACATTGTRGTCAAACCTGTCTTCTTACATAGAAATCTACATTCCTCTCCCCCTTTCACATAGACACACACACACAATGCTGCCCTACAATGAGGTCAATCCGTGATTAAAGTTCTTGACAAAAGAGCTTTGGATAAACAGTTAAACAGTCTGGTTATCTTTACTCAATAAAGAGCTGCAAGAAACTCAGATGCTCAGATGGAGAGAGATGCAGTAGTGTTCACCATTCTATATTTCCCTCTGATTATAAAAAAAAAGTTTTTAAATCAAGAATGAGGAAGGGGAAAGTACGTTTTCAAACTACCATTTTCTTTGCTCAGCCAGGAGATTTCGCCTTTTAAAATCTTTTAAGACGAGGCAACAGCAATAYCTTTGGGAGAAAGTTTCAGACAAATGTAAAACTAACCTCTCTCTGCTTTGCTGCTTTATRTTCCTAGGACCCTCAAACCCTAAAACCAATTGTGCTTACGCCTATTAAGTCTGACTCTGGACAAGGAATTCAAATGCCAAGCCCTACCTATTTTAATTTGCAACAGATGGAAGCCGTTAAAGCTTGCCCTTTACAACCTTAGTGTCATATCTCAAGCCAAGAAAGAAAAATTTCCTCTTAGAATTGTCTTGACACAATTTTGTACTTTTCTTTTTCTCTTTCTTTCTTTCTTCTTTTTTAAAAAGTCTGAATGTTAGAAAAACAGGACAACTTTCTTAGCACCCAGCAGGTGGACTTGAARGGCCAGGAGGGACATGCATTCATGGAAACACATATCCTAAAGGGCCACACTCACAGGTATCTGAGTTTGCTACAAGGATTTTTTAATTTTATGCTTATATTTCAATAGTAATGTAATAAAGAAAATGAAAGCATATTCCAGTTCATCTAGATGGCTACCCTAAAACAGAGAACAAATATATGATTTTGGTATATGCATTTGTGTTTATAATTCAGTGCATACATAACAAGTGAAGTATAAGTGGCATTCAGAGGCATAATATGCCAAAAGTTTTGCTGTAGTACAGAGAGGGACATGGCAAGAATGGTGAAAGCATGATAAATCAAGAGTCTGAACAATAGCAAGCAGCAGCAAGTTAATGTCCAATTAACATGTGGCTCAGATGCTCTTTGCATGATCCTGCATGMATTGTTGTAGAAAATCCACAGTGAACATTTTTCAGGTTTAGATTATAGCTTTTAATTCAATTTTAGCTTTTACTGAATTCAGTAACCATCTCTATCACAATACCAGTTTCATCTCCAATAGAGCTTTAAAAGATCATCAAATACCATGCCATTAAAATTGACACTAGCAAATCTCTTTAATAGCTCTAAGTTTTATTATCCTGAAGTAGGAAATAAAACTTTAAACTTATTAACAATAGTTTCTACATGTTTACAAAACAAGGTATTCTTTATATTGTTTTCACTGAAGTCAAATTCAGAAACATTAAATTAAATGTGGAACTCTGAGGTCATATCTTTTTATTATTACACCCAGTATCTGTGAGTCAGTTTTAGACATTTTTATCCACTGTATTTAATTGGGGTCACTTACTTGAAGACTATTAGTAAAATTTAATTGCTACTAAAAATTGTTTTTATAGTAGTATGAAAATTTTTGKGTAGTTTGTGTTTTTAATATTTAAGTTACCACTGTAAATAAAAATAGCACTGGAGGTCATAAAAGGCTTGTATGCTTTCAAAGGGATCAATGCATTATTCAAGTTTGAGAGGCACTTGTCTTAAGTGTGAATCTGCCAGGAGTCTAGGAGCCTTAACAGAAGGAAGCAGAACACTGGGTTATGGCGTACTCTCTGAAAATATTTGCTGGCTGATTAACCTTAAGTAAAGCACATGTTCCTGTGGAATCTGAGGAATTCACTTATTTCCTTAGGAAGTAAGTAGCTATTCCTTTGTAGGCACACACCTGTAATCCCAGTGACTCCAAACACTGAAGCAGGAGGTTTGCGAGTGCCAAGCCAGCCACAGCAACTTAGTGAGGCCCTAAGCAAGTTAGAAAGACTCTGTCTCTAAATAAACTACAAAAAGGGCTGTGGATGTGGCTC